CCTGGAGGAAGTGCAGCTGGAATGCTCCTTGGAAGCAAGAATAGCCAGACTTCGTCTCACCTATTTTGGTCATGTTGTAAGAAGGGACCATTCCCTGGAGAAGGATGTCATGCTTGGTAAGGTGGAGGGTTAACTAAAGAGGGGAAAGCCCTCAATGAGATGGATTGACACAGTGCTGTGGCGATGGGCTCAAGTATAGCAAGGATCGTGGAGCTGGCATGGGACTGGGCGGTGTTTTGTTCTGTTGTGCATAGGGTCGCTATGAGTCAGAGATGACTTGACGGCACCTAACGACATGTACAGATTTGTCATGAGCACAATGAAATGCTCAGGAATTCCCATTCTTTGCAATGTTGTTTGTAATTTGTTATGGCCCACGCAGTCAAGTCTTTGCATAACACAGGTAAATATCTTTCTGGTATTCTTTGCTTTCAGCCAAGAGTGATGTGACATAATCAATAATATCCCTTGTTCCTTGTCCACCACTTGTCATTACAAGCCACTACTCGTCTGTCAGTTTGTCATACTGTGGTGGCTTGCGTGTTGCTGTGAGAATGAAGGCTATGCTAGTAGTATTTCAAATACTGGTAGAGTCACCCATGGTGGACAGGTTTCAGTGGAGCTTCCAGACTAAGACAGACTGGGAAGAAGGATGGGACTATCCACTGCTGAAAAAATTGGCCACTGAAAACCTTAGGAATAGCAGTGAAATGCTGTCTGACATATCACTGGAAAACTTTAAGAATAACAGTGAAGCACACTGTCTGATATAGTTCTGGAAGATAAGCTTCATACGTTGGAAGGTACTCAAAATATTACCGGGGAAGAGCTGTCTTCTCAAAGTAGTTGTTGTTATGTACCGTCAAGTCAGACCTGACTCATAGTGACCCCTCCTTGGGTTTCCGAGGCAGTAACACTACAGAAGTAGATTGCTCTGTCTTCCTTCCAAAGTAGAGTCAATCTTAATGATGTAGATGGAGTAAAGCTTTATGGACTGTCATTTGCTGATAGAGCATGACTCAAAATGGGAAGAAAGAGCTGAAAACACTCAATAATAACAGGACCATAGAATGTGTGAAGTATGAATCTAGGAAAATTGGATGTTGTCAGGAATGAAATGGAATGCATAAAGATTGATATCCTAGGAATTAGTGAGCTGAAATCTATTAGTATTGGCCATTTTGAATCAGACAATCATACGGTCTACTATGCTGGGAATGACAAATTGAAGAGGAATAGTGTTGCATTCATCATCATCATAAAAAAAAAAAAATTTAGCTCTATCCTGAAGTACAATGCTGTCAGGGCTAGGATAATATCCATATGCCTAGAAGGAAGACCAGTTAATACTACTATTATTCAAATTTACACAACAACTACTAAAGCCAAAGATGAAGAAATTGAAGATTTTTACAAACTTCTGCAGTCTGAAATTGACCAAACATGAATCAGTATGTATTGATTATTACTGGTGATTGGGATGTCAAAGTTAGAAACAAAGAAGAATCATTGGTAGTTGGAAGAAAATATGGCCTTGGTGATAGAAATTACGCTGGAGATTGCGGATAGAATTTTCTAAGAGCAACAACTTACTCATGGCAAATATCTTTCTCAGCAACATAAATGCCAACTATACATGTAGACATTACCAAATGGAATACACCACAATAAAATTAACCACATCTGTGGAAAGAGACAATGGAGAAGCTCAGTATCATTAGTAAGGAAATAGCCAGGGGCCAAGTGTGGAACAGACCATCAATTGCCCAAATGCAATTTCAAGTTAAAGCTGAAGAAAACTAAAGTCCATGGGAACCAAGATACGACCTTGATTATATTCCACCTGAATTCAGCAGCCATTTGAAGAATAGATTTCACAGACTGAACACCAATGACCGAAAACCAGACGAATTGTGATATAAAATCAAAAACGTCATACATGAAGAAAGCAAAAGGTCATTAAAAAGACAGGAAAGAAAAGACAAAAATGGATGCAGCAGAGACTCTGAAACTTGCTCTTGAATGAAGAGCAGCTAAAGCGAATAGAAGAAATGCTGAAATAAAAGAGCTGAACAGAAGAGTCCAAAGTGTGGCTTGAGAAGCAAAGTAAAATATTATAATGAAATGTGCAAAGACCTGACGTTAGAAAACCAAAATGGAAGAACAAGCTCCACGTTTCAGAAACTGAAAGAACAGAACAAAACATTCAAGCCTCAAATTGCCATATGGAAGGATTCTATGGGCAAAATATTCAATGATGTGGGAAGCATCAAAAGAAGATGGAAGGCATACCCAGCCACTGCTATACTACTGTTGTTGTTGTTATGTGCCGTCGAGTCGGCCCCGACTCATAGCGACCCCTCCTTGGGTTTCCGAGGCAGTATCACTACGGAAGTAGGATTGCCCAACCTTCCTTCCGAGGAGTGGCTGGTGGGTTTGAACCGCCAGCCTTCTGGTTAGCAGTCAACTGCTTTTAGCCACTATGCTACCAGAGCACCAAAAAGTCAAAGATGGAAAATTTATGGCATATAAACTTAAGCATAAAACAGCAAGTCCTATTTGCAAAGTAGATATTTATTGTAAAGTTAGATGATGTTGCCGTGTGGGGTCATTTGAATGCTTTTTCGTTCCTTTTTTAAAAAAATCATGAAACGATGAAATATAGTATTTAAGTTATGATCTAGAGAAAAAATCAATTCATTGACATATTCCCAAATTTGAACCTTGAACATGTGCTTTGGTAATCCTTCGGCTTATTTTTCAAGGTCCAACAGAAATTTGGTTTAATGGGTGTACCTGTCTTTAACATATATTTTGCTTACAAGCTTCCTCACCTAAACACAAAGGTTGAATGCAAAATTGTATCTTTTAGTAATTTTGTAAGGTGTTGATGGTACATCACCTAACAGTAGGTAAGAGTTGTTACAATAAGAATTTTTTTTTTGCTCATTTCTAACACTTCCTCCTAACATTTTCACTGCTCTCTTTAGCAATTAAATGTTTATTCATCTAATTTTTCATCAGTGTCCTTTTATTCCTTGTGGAATATACAAAACTTGTATGATGTGTTTGGAAGATACTTAAAATGTGTTTTTGGAGTGAGTTATGAAAGTTCTTTGAATTTATGGTGTTAGCACAATTTCCTAACGAGTATATCTGGCTTCTTATTTAAACAATGTAGTACTAAAATGACTTTATGAGTTATGGGGCTGTTTTCCAGGCATTTTTGTCTCAATTTTGAGGTAGATTTCCAACATTGTTAGCCAAAAATATAAGAGAAGTTGGTGATATAATGGAGTCAATCAGAAGCACCAGGTTCTGGTTCTGTTTCTCCAGAGCGTTAGAGACCATGGACAAATCTCTAGTATTTCATCTTCCTTATTTAAAAGCAGAGGTTGAATAGGTGACCAAATAAATGCCCTTCTTATAATTTATTAAGGAGCTCTGGTAGCAGTGGCTAAGGCACTTGACTGTTAACCAGAAGGCTGGCGGTTCAAACCCAGCAGTCACTCCTTGGAAGGAAGATAGGGCAATCTACTTTCGCAGTGATACTGCTTCCGCAACCCAACGAGGGGTCGCTATGAGTCGGGTCCGACTTGATGGCACATAACAACAACAGTGCCTTGGAAACCCAAGGAGGGGTCCCTATGAGTTGGATCCGACTCCACCGCCGTGAGTTTGAGAGAGTTTTGTACATTAAGAGTTTAGACTCTTTTTACTAGGCATTTTACTTGCAAGGCAAACCTTGAACTTTTCATTTTAGAAAACATGGGAGACTATGCATAAAAAAGTACTGATTGAAGAATTAACAGAAAGTCATCAAAGACATTATTCATTTGCCATGCAAAGAGACAAAGTTCAAAGCACACCCTTGCTTCTTAAATTCTCAAGAGTGATTATAGTTCTCTTAACCTCACTTCCAGGTCCCTGTGACCTCAGGCCTTTGGGTCTACTTCTACAGAAGACCAAACAGGTGAGGATGAAAGAGTTCCAAGTATTAAATATTCAATTTAGGTCAGTCCCTCTGTGAAGCTCAGGGGTGGGACCCAGTATTCTTGGAGGGCGATCAAAAGTTACCCGGGGTGACTCGGAACTAACTCTCAATCTGAAGGGAAACGCGCCACAAGGCTACTTCTGTGATTGACTAAAAAAAGGTGCCCATCTTAAATGCAGGGAAAAGGCATGAATTCTAATCCCGCGTTTACTCTTCATTTCCCCCACGATTTGTCCCGGATGGAGTTAGGCCACTTCAGATACCTAAGGCCGTCCTTGCGTGGCGCTCTGAGGACCGGGAGGGGCAATTATAGGCGCCCAGACATCCGGCTGGATGGGCCAAAGAACCCGGGAACATTGCCTCCGAACCTGTGATAAAGGGGGTGGGAGGTGTGCCCTGAGACATCCCTTCCTGAAGGCACCTGCCTAACAGCGAAGGCTCTCCAAACGCCCCCCACTTAAGGTTCCCTTGCGACTCAGGCACAAGACCTTCCACCTCAGGAGGGGGAGGGGCGTTCCCGTCGAAACATAACCGCCGCACCGCGCCCTGCCTCCAGTCTGGCAGCGCGTGGGATGCTTGGGGGGCGGGGTCGGAAAATCTTGCATTTTTTGGCACGTGCCCCGTTGCGGGGCGAAGATGGGAGGAGGTGGGGCGGACAGCAAAAGAGAAAAGGAACAGAGCTCCGCCCAGAACGGGCACGCTTCGGGGTCGCGGTTGCGCAGCCGCTCTTTATCCTTTTGGGGCAGGCCAGCCCAGCCCAGCCCAGCCCAAGTTGGCGCCGCGCTCCGCCCCACCCACGGTTCGAGCTGCGCACGCGTCTTGCATGCCCTCGCCTCCGCCCCTAGCAGGGCTCGCGGCGGACCTGCGCGTCTGGCCAGCGGTGGCGCCGCAGTCGGAGCCGCCCCGAAGCGGGTGAACAGAGCGTTCTCCAGGAAAGGGTACTGGAGGAAGGCGCAGGAAGAAGGAGCACGGGGGGCGGCTGCCTTGCCTCCTGCGGCTAAGGAAAATGGTGTTCGAGTCATTGGTCGTGGACGTGTTGAACCGGTTCTTGGGGGACTATGTGGTGAACCTGGACACGTCGCAGCTTTCTCTGGGCATTTGGGGAGGTAACGAGAGCGCCGCTGTCCCACAGTCTCACCTCTCTCCTGGCCCTCTTGTCGCCGGATCCGGGCCCTGTCTTTTTGGGGCTTTGGTCTCCTCCCTTGCCAGGCGCTGCCACCTGCCGCCTGCCTTTTCGGCTCAGGTTACTTAAAGCGGGCGGCGGAGTTGGGACCTCCGTCTGGAGTTGTTTTATTTTTTTTCGGATAGGTTCGAGATACACAGACCCCCACCCCCTTTCAGAGAGGAGAGGTGGTTTCCAGGGATCTTGAGTTCAAATCCCACCAGGGCGCCCTTTCCGCCCCGCGGGGTTCGGCTTCAGTGGCGCTGGGCGAGGGGAAGCGACGAGACGCTTCTAGTTCCATTTCATCCCTGTCATTTTCTCATTTGGGTTATGTATAGGCCCACAGAGTGTCGCACGCTGCCTCGCACGTGAAGGCGAAGAGCTGTGACAAGACGCCCTCCTACTTCGTCGCCCAGCTTCAGTTTTGGCTAAACCCACGGTGTTTTTCCGGCTCCTCTTTCAGGCTGCACAACCTGGGCTCCGGGTTGCCTGCCTCCGGCGAATGACAGAAAGCGAAACTCGCATGCATAGTAACTCGATCGGTTGCTTGTGTGTTTTCAGTCCACAACCTGATCCATGAAATAATGTGTCACATTTGTGAGGCTTTGGGATTTTGTGGGTCAGAGTGAATTACTGAATTTTTGGAAGAATTAAGTCTGCTGTTGAACAACTCAGACCTACAAAAGACGGGATGAACTTGCTTTTGTATCGGTTTATGCTGGTGCTCTTCCTTATTGCAGCTTCAGTGTTAGTACTGGTATCTGTTTTTATATTACACCTTTATTTAAACACTCTTTAGAACTTAGATTGCTTTATGAAACAAATTTCCCATACCAGTCAGAGGTAGGGTTTATTTTTTTTGTGTGAATAATGCATTTTTTCCCTGTATTGTAATTTTTTAAAAGTAACTTTTCTTGAATATATGTACCTTAATCCTTCTAAAATACATGTTTATCTAGATTTTTCTCATTTATGAAATAGTGTAAATAAATAATTTATTTTGATAACGAATACCTCCTCTTACTACTGTTTAGTATTTGATAACCATGATAGAGTAGCGTAAAAGACTTAGAGACATCATAGTATTAGAAATTTCCCGTATTGTTTGATCTGTGTCGCATCTCAGTTGCAAAGTAAAAATAATAAAACTCATCTCCACCAAATTCAGAAGTAAACCTTAAGAACCCATGAGACATACTTTGATCTGTAGTGAAAAGCTGCTTCTAAATTCAAGATGAAAGTTTGTATGTTGTTGTTGTTGTTATGTGCCGTCGAGTTGGCCCCGACTCATAGCGACCCCTCCTTGGGTTTCCGAGGCAGTATCACTACGGAAGTAGGATTGCCCAACCTTCCTTCCGAGGAGTGGCTGGTGGGTTTGAACCGCCAGCCATCTGGTTAGCAGGCAAGTGTCTTAGCCACTATGCTACCAGAGCTCCCGAAAGTTTGTATAGAGGGAGATTAATCAGTGAGTTTATTTAATTGGAATTTACATACAGTAAAATTTATTCTTGTGGTAGACAGCCCTCTCTTGACGTGTGAAGGGGCATGGACCACTGTTAAAATCATGTTACAGAAAAGTTCCACCAACCCCCCCCCCAGTTGCTTCTGCTGTCACTTTGTAGTTAGTTCCCTACCCTACACTAATTTTTGCAACCACTGATCTTTTGCCATCTCCACAGTTTTGCCTTGTCCAGAATGCCATATAAATAGATTTATGTGTTATATGGCCTTTTGGATGTACTTTCTTTCACTTAATTCACTTAACTTCTTTCATAAAAACCATTTGAAAGTTATCCTTGTGTTGAATGCATCCATATATATAGTTATGAAAATACACCAAAACATTCACAAGCATAATAACTTCCATATTTACAATTCATTGACATTGATTACACTTTCTATGTTCTCCCGGGGTTATCTCACTACCCTTTCCCAAAATATTCTACCACCCTTAACATAAACTAATGCTCCCCGAACAAAACTGCCCCTCTTGTCCTTTCTTCTTCACTTGGTAACCATTAATAATCTTTGATCTCTATATATTTGTTTATTTCACGTAAGTGAGATCATACAGTATTGCGCCTTTTGCAACTACTTATTTTGTTCAGTATAATGTTTTCAAGGTTCATCCATATGGTATTCATAATAATCCAATGCATAATAGTCCAATGCATAATAGTCCATTTTGTGTATATCCTGCTTTGTTTATCCATTCATCTGTTGTTGGACTTTTTGGTTATTTCCACTTTCTGAGGATTTTAAGAAGTGCAGTGAACCTTGCTGTACAGCTGTCTGTTTGCATTCCTGCCTTCGTTTCTTCTATACCTAGGATTGGGATTGCTGGGTCTCGTTGTAATTCTGTGTTCAACTTTTTGAAGAACTGCCGAGTGTTTTTTTTCATACTGGCTGTACCATTTTAAATTCCCACCAATGATGGATGAGGGTTCCAATTTCTCGACTACCTTTCAAACATTTGTTTGCTGGTATTTTTGATCATTGCTATTCTAATGGGGGGAGCTCTGGTAGCATAGTGGCTAAGTCACTTGCCTGCTAACCAGAAGGCTGACGGTTCAAACCCACCAGCCACTCCTTGGAAGGAAGGTTGGGCAATCCTACTTCCGTAGTGATACTGCCTCGGAAACCCAAGGAGGGGTCGCTATGAGTCGGGGCCGACTTGATGGCACCCAACAACAACAACATTCTAATGGGGATGAGATGATACCTTATTGTGGTTTTGATTTGCATCTCCCTAATGGCTAATGGAGGAGCTCTGGTAGCATAATGCCTAAGACACTTGACTGCTAACCAGAAGCCTGGCAGTTCAAACCCTCCAGCTACTCCTCGGAAGGACAGTTGGGCAATCTACTTCCGTAGTGCTACTGCCTCGGCAACCCAAGGAGGGGTCGCTATGAGTCGGTCTGACTCGATGGCACATAACAGCAACAGCAACAACAATGGCTAATGGAGGAGCTCTGGTGGCACGGTACCGGTACCTAAGGCATTAAAGGCTGGCTGTTCAAACTCACCAGCCATTCCTCGGAAGGAAGATTGAGCCATCTGCTTCCATAGAGATACTGCCTTGGAAGCTCAAGGAGGGGTCGCTATGAGTCAAATCGACTTGATGGCAGTGAGTTTGGTCTGGTTTGGTAATGGCTAATGGAGAGACTGGGGATAATGCAGATGGTTAAGCACTAGACTATTAGCATAAAGGTTGCTGGTTCAGACCCACCCAGAGGCTTTGAAAGACAAACCTGGTGATCTGCTTCTGAAAGGTCACAGCCTTGAAAACCTTACAGAGCAGTTCTACTCTGCACATCTGGGGTCCCCATGAGTTGGAATTGACTAGACAGCGATTTACAACAACAGCTAGTGATCTTGAGCCATTTTTTCCTATGCTTGTTGGCCATTTGAGTATCTTCTTTGAACTGTCTATTCAAGTCCTTTGTCCATTTTTTTTAATTGGGTTGTTCATCTTTTTGTTGTTAAGTGGTAGAAGTTTTACATGTATTTTGGATTTTAGGTATTCCTGTAATTTTGAGTTGTATCATTGCATGAATGTACTGTAGAAATTTATGCATTCATCAGTTGAAGGACATTTCAGTTTTTGGTGAAAATGAATAAAGCTGTTATAAACATTGATGTATAGGTTTTGTGTGAACATAAATTTTTATTTCTCTTGAGTAAATGCCTAAGAGTGGGATTGCTGGATCACATAGAAAATGAATATCTGATTGTCAGTATGAGAAATTGTCAAGCTGCTTTTCAAACTGGCTTGCCATTTTGCAATCCCACCAGCATTTATGAGAATTCAATTGCTTTATATCCTTGCAACACTTGGCATTGTCATTAAATTTTTTTGTAGCTATTCTAATAAGTTTGTAATAGTAAAGATAAGTGGTTTTAATTTGCATTTCCTTATTGACTAATGATGTTGAGTATCTTTTCATGTTCATATCTATCATTTGTATATATTTTTAGTTGTTGTTGTTAGATGCCATTGTGTTGGTTCCGACTCATAGTGACCCTCTGTGCAATGAAACACTACTTGCTCTTGTGCCATCCTCGTAATCATTGCTGTGCTTGAGCCATTGTTCGGGGCACTGTGTCAATCCATCTTGTTGAGGGTCTTCCTCTTTTTTGCTGACCCTCTACTTTACCAAGCATAATATCCTTGTCCAGGGACTGGTCCCTCCTGATAACATGACCAAAGTGCAAGAGATGAAGTCTGGTTATTCTCGATTATAAGGAGCATTCCGGCTGTAACTCTTCCAAGACAGATTTGTTTGTTCTTCTGGCAGTCCCTGGTATATTCAGTATTCTTTGCCAACAACATAATACAAATGCATCCACTTTTCTGTGGTATTCTTATTGATCGTCCACTTTTCACATGCATATGAGGCTATTGAAAATACCATGGCATAGGTCAGGCACACCTTAGTCTTCAAAATGACATCTTTACTCTTTAGCAATTTAGAGAGGTCTTGTGCAGCATATTTGCCCAGTGGAGTGTGTTGTTTGATTTCCTGACGGCTGCTTCCATGAGTATTGATTTTGGATCCAAGTAAAATGAAATTCTTGACAATATCATTCTTTTCTCGGTTTATCATGATGTTACTTATTGGTCCAGTTGTGAGGATTTTTATTTTCTTTATGTTGAGGTATAATCCTTACTTAAGGCTGTAGTCTTTGGTCTTTAAGTCTTCTTCACTCTCAGCCAGTAAGGTTGTGTCATCTGCATATTGCAGGTTGTTAATAAGTTTTCCTTCAATCCTGATGCCATGTTATTTTTCATATGGTCCAGTTTCTTGGATTATTTGCTCAGCATATATACTGAAAAAGTATGATGATAAGATATAGTCCTGATGCATACCCATCCTTATTTTAAACCTTATTTTCTCCCCTTGCTCTGTTAGAAGACTGCCTCTTGGTTAATGTGCAGGTTCC